ATACAGTTAATTACAGTTACCCTGGTGTTGTTTTGGCAGTGTACAATGTGCCTGTAGATTTCAACTGTTTTTTTAACAGTAAAGCAAACAACTTCAGTACCCAGTACTCAATTATTTTTTTCTCTATACTTTTCTTTCTCTCCAACCAATAACAAAAGTAAAAAGATTTACACTTTGTAAAGTGGATTATAAAAATGGAAATTGACTGCCCGTATGCACTGTTTTGAGATCACTGAATTTCAGAAAAGCAGTTTTGGATGGATCGCAGGATCCGAAAGCACAGGCTTCGTTTTCTTTCTTGGCTCCGCCGATCTCGTCCAGGTACTCATACAGTGTTTCTTCACTTCTTGCTACTTCTTTTACAATTCTTCTTTATTTTGGAGGCTTTCAGTTCATGGGTTATGGTAATGTTTTAGAAAGTGATGGAATTTGTTGAGAATTCACATTGATTCTGCTGATTTCTATATGGGTTTTTTATGGCTAATGTAATTTCAACGTCTGGAATGAAGAAATTGTGATGGAGTTGGACTTAAATCTGTTGGGGCGTGTTTTATGATCATTTGCAATGTTACATAAGATGAATTTGTGTTTATGGAGTATGATTGAAAATATTCAGATTTTCTTGATGTCTGTTTTTCCAAGTTGTGGATTGTGATTTTAACTCGAATATGTGTTTTTATCTTAGGTCCAATCTCATTTGTGAAGCATTATGCATATAAGGATGTTAAGAAGGCAACAGATGGTTTTAACAGGGTAATATATGGCAATTCCCATGGGGCTGCTTACAAGGCCAGGCTTGAAGATGGGGAGGTTGCTTTGGTAAAAGAAGCAACCGTTTTCAATGAAAGAAAAGACTTCTTCTACCGGGAAGTTCAGTTCTTGGAGCGCTTGCATCACCGCCATCTTCTTCCTCTTAGGGGTTTTTCCACAGGACATAAAAGGTATGTCGTTTTCTTAACATCCATTTCATTTTCAGAAAAAGAAGTTAGCCTAATATGTCCAAGTTTTGGCTTTCCTTTTCAGGTTGCTGGTGTTTGACAATATCCAAAATGGAAGCTTGAAGGAGCATCTTAATGGTAACATATATAACATGCCTTATGTATGAATGCAAAATTTTCCCTTTTTCTTTGGCATAATCAACTAGTCCTGGCAGATCCTCTTAAGACTCCTTTGAATTGGAAGACAAGGCTAGAGATAGCCACAGGGGTGGCTGCAGCATTGGTAAGTGCAGATTCATTCATCATATTATCTTCTAAAAGAGGATGACTGTGATTTTCAAAAGCAAAATTAGTGCAAAGTTTTGCTCTTAACTATATTTGTTAAGATTATTCTGTTTTGGCAGGAATATTTGCTTCTCTTCAGTAACCCACCAGTTTATCATGTGTCCATAAACTCAAGTAATATCATGTTTGATGAAAACTTTACCGCAAAGGTAAATGTATTGTATACTCTCCCAACACTTACTTCATTGCAAATTCATTCTGTTGAAAAATCTCTGTATTAGTACTTTAGTAGTAAGTAATTGTCCCTTTTTACTGTCACAGCTTTCTGATGTTGGGCTTCTTAGTTCTGTTGGGAATTATGTAAATGTTCCTCATTCATCCTGTTCAGAAGGTGATCTTTCCACTGGTTTTTTAGCAGAGGGCATCTGATACATGCTTTTTTTTTATGTCTTGAGGACTCTTATAGCCATCCTTCTCTTGTGCAGAATGTATGGGTGAGGAATGTGGCAGCATAATCTTTCAGCTTGGGGTGCTAATACTGGAGCTAATCACCGGACAGTCATCGGAGCATGGAGGTCCTGATCTGATCCAATGGGTCCAAGGATCTCGCCTTGGAAGTTCCATTCACATGATGATAGACCCAGATCTTGGAAATAATTATGATCACAGTGAGCTTAAAAAGCTTCTGGCTGTTGCAAGATTATGTATTAAATCAAAGAATAACCCAACATTTCCTATTTCACAGGTATTAAGGTATCTCCAAAAGAAGGTAGTCATTGCACATGACTAGCGTCTGCAAAATTGGATTTTGACAATTTTTTTTTTCTTCCTACTTTTTTGGTTTGTACAAATTTCTTCATAATAACTTATATTGCAATAATTTTACATTGATTGAAATTAAAATTGAGTCAATTCTTGCTGGGCCTGATTTTGTAAACCATTATGTACACAATATTAGTAGTACTTCTAAACAAGCATGCATAGACATATGATTTGTCTAAGGTAATTACTACCAAAATAGAAAGAAAGAAACAAGCATGCATAGAGATGTTTTGGCTTGTGAAATAGGGAAGTAGAATAAGTAACAACAATGGGATAGGAATTCAGTTTCATAGCCAAGAAAATATGATCAGAACAGCAATCTTCGCTAGATAATAACTGTCAAGTACAAAATTGGTCCTTAGAGGTTATAAGAAGCATCCAGAATCTATTGTTAATTTATGGCAAACAATAACATCTCCAATGACCAACCACCCATAATGCTAGGACATGGCTTGAACTCTCAATTATATTTCACTACTATGGATACCAACCAACCCACAGATACCCAAGTACAGGACTTGAAATCATAATAAATTTTCTTCGTTATTACTGCTGAGCACATTGCACCCTCTGAGCACCACCATGCATATCATCATCCTCCTCATATGCCTCCTGAGCCTGTTGCTGCTGCTTCCTCCTCATCTCCTCTTCAATGTTCACATCATGCAGAGTAGTCTCCTCACACTCATCTAGCTCCATATCTGTCAACTGAGAAGTTGGCTTTGGTGGGAGAACAGCTTCAAGTGCTCTGACCTGATCAGGGCTCAACGAGTCAGGGAACTCAACTGTGAAGTGAATGTACATCTTTCCCTTCATGAAGGACCTCTGGTAGATGGGCATCCCCTCATCATTAATTGCCTTAAAGGAATCTGGAACAAGGAGTTTGGAAGTTTAATGAGGATCAAGTAACTGTCAAGAGAAAGTCTTTAACAGATATGTTACATGTACAATCATTATTCATTAGACTTACCAGGCTTCACAACTTCTCCAGGATTTGATTTGATAAGTAGCTGCCTGCCATCCAAATGGGTCAATGCAAATTGGAAACCACACAGAGCCTCAGTAAGGGACAAGGTGTGCTCCACAAATAGATCCTCTCCCTTTCTTTTGAACCTTGGATGCTCCTTCTGCTGAAGGACAAAGACTATATCCCCAGTGACTGTATCAGGCTGCAAAACAGACAAGAAACCAACGAATCAGGGCTCCATCCTATCCCTAATTGAAGCTGGGGCAATCAATTTCATTCAAACAATTAGGGCAATCAATTTCATTCAAACAGGATCGACAACATACCGCTTCATCAGCTTCACCAGGGAATGTAATCTTCTGTGCATTCTGCATGCCCTTCTCAACAATGACCTCCAACACTTTCTTCTCTGGAACAACTTTCTCTCCCTTGCACTGAGTGCAGCGGTCCCTGTCATTGATGGTCTCCCCAGTACCCTTGCATTCATTGCAAGGATGTTGCATCTGCTGAATCATAGAAGGACCAAGATGCCTGATAGACACCTTCATACCAGTTCCCTGGCACCCTGGACATTTCATTGAAGCTCCAGATTTTGACCCCTTTCTGTAATAGACAACACATTAATAAACCAACTTTAACTAATACATCAATAATTAAACTACAGAACAAGAATGAGAGCATCGAAAAATAACAGTCAAGTACTCACCCATTGCACTTTGAGCATATCACATTCCGGGAGAGGGAGAGCTTCTTTGTAGTCCCAAGATAAAGATCCTCCAGAGAAACCTTCAGAGGGTGAACAACATCCTCTCCGCGCCTCTGCCTTCTCCCTCTGCTGCTACCACCTGTCCATGGATGATATCATGATTTAGTCACTTTGCAAAGACAAACACCAGCACTGATCCTTCAAAAGGCAAAGAAGAACATCTAACTAGATACTCACCTCCAAATCCTCCACCAAAGAAGGATGAGAAGATGTCAAATGGATCATGCCCAGCAGCACCACCACCCATTCCTTCCTTGAGCGCATCCTCACCATACTGATCATAGATTTCACGTTTCTCAGAGTCACTCAGGACCTCATAAGCATGAGCAAGCTCCTTAAACTGCAACAAAAAAAACCCCCAATTTTTTCTGTTTCAGTTAAGCTGCACCATCTGGTTACCTAGACAATTACAAGATAACTTGACTGACACAACCTATTACAGTCTTGACAAAGACAAACTAAGGAAAAGAGTAAAATAAATCCAAACAAAAGCCATACTCAAGGCATATATACCCTAATAAAGCAGACAACTTGCAACATACAATCAAACTTTGAATAGCTATTCACCTACCATACAAAAATCTAAGAAAAAAGCAACACAACATCAAACAACAGTGCAACAATCTAAACCCACCCCATCATATCATCAATCTTCTATTTCCTAAGCTCTCTGAGAATTATGACTAATATGAATCAAACAGAATCAAAAAACCGAGAAGTATATCTGAAAATTTTGTAGAATTACCTACCTTCTCAGGATCTCCACCTTTATCAGGGTGATTCTTGATGGCGGCTTTCTTGTACGCCTTCTTCAAATCATCCTGGGAAGCGTTCTTTGACACTCCCAGAATCTCATAGTACCTTGTGTTATCGCTTTTCTTCGGCACTCTTCCGAACATCTTTCTCCCTCGGATTCGAATCGCCGATCTGGAAAACAAAAACCCAGTAGGGAAGGCTAAACACGAAACGCCGGAGAAGAACCCGTAACAATCAACCAAGATGGAGAGAAAAAGACGGGATGGAGGGACTTTATAGGGGGGCGATGGTGCTGATGGACGGTTGAGATTATCTCCTGGTGCTACCTGTTGGGAACGGAAGGATCTAGAATTCTTCTCTTCGTTCTCAATTAGGACTTGGAGTGGTTCGTTACAGGGAAAAAAATGTGGGTTAAACTTTAAAGACAGTTGTAGTCCCCTAGCTTTTATTAATAATTCATTGAGGTCTCTCTACTTTAAAGCATCGGATAATTGGGGTACCTTCTCTGACGTCGTTAGTGACGGATTTACTGCGTGCGACAAAGGGGGAATAAAAGTAAATTTACAGCAAAGGCAAAGCTGAGAACATGAATTGCTAACGTGCGCCGGGTTTCCAGAAGCTACATGACTGTCATGACGTGGATGACGTTTCGGCTCGGTGTACTACGATTGTAGTTTTTAATTTTTGCTTTTTTTATTCTTAGTTTTTAATTTCAGTTTTTTTGTTTTTTTTTTTTAATAAATGGGTGTCTTAGTTTTATATTTATTATTATATTACGTCATAAAATAAAAATTTTTAAGTAATAATAAGAGATTGTTTGGTGTGGTTGGTGAGAGTTTTTGCTTTTTGAGTACTGTTATGAGTGATAAATTTAAATTTTTATTAGAGGAAAAATAGAATTTAGTTTTTAGAAATGTGAAAAAGTTAATGAAAAGTAAGTAAAAAGAGAGTTTATGAAAAGTTTGGATTTAAAACTTTTGAACTTTTATTGTTTAAGAGCTTTTTGAGGTTAAAAAAATATTTAAAAGTGTAAGTTTTTAAGAAGAAAATTTAAATTCATTGGATATGAATAGTGTCCAGAAACTGAAGCTCCAAGGAGCTCCACCAAATAAGCCCTAAGTTTTTAATAAAGAATTTATTTTTATTTAATGATTATAATTATATAACTTAATAATTATTTTTTTATTTAAATTAAAATATTTTAAATTTAAATCGTATAATATATTATTAACATAAAATAAAAAAAATAAAAAAATTATTTTTTATTATATAAATAAAATAAAAATAAAAACAAAATTGCATTAATTATTTTTAGATAAAATCACGGTGAAGTCTAAATAAAATATAAAAGATAAGAAAAGACGATGGTGACACGCTTCCCGTAATTGTCTCCTTTCGAGCCACATTATGCTCCACCCAACCCAGCCCCCCAACCAAACGACGCCGCATCCTAACCCCAGTAGCTTCACACACTAGGCGTACTATAGCCGACACCGCCAAACTTTACAAAAATCAGCTACTCCAGTAAAAAGTAGAAAAAGAAAAGAAGGAACAAAAAACGAGATAGAAGCCAGAAGAACGAGGGGTGGTGGGTGGGGGGAGATCCGCAGGGGCTTATCGATTCCGAAATTTCTCAGTTCGAATTTACTGTGGCAGAAGAGAAGGGGAAATAATGGCTGCCAAGTGTGTGTGGGTGAGTGAGGTGGACTGAGGTTTGACTTGTTGACTGATTGATCCATCGACGGCTGTAAAGGGTATTTGCCGCTGCTGCTGCTGCTTTTCTCTTTCCCGTTGATTCTGCTTACTTTTCCCGTTGATTTTGCTTACTGTTTCCCAATCTCTCTGTAAAAATCCAAGTAAATTCACTCTCTTTCTGAAGCTCCCTCATGATCTTTGTTCGTTTCCGGTTCCTCTAGTTTTAGATGGTGATTTTTTTGTAGTTTTTCTTATGCTGCATTTTGTTTAATTTTAAATGAAAAAGGGAATTTTAGAAGTTAATGTTTAGCTGAGGAATGTGGTTTTAAGTTTGAAAATATTTGATTTTGTTTTCTTTTTAGTGAAGTCGTGGGCTTTTTGTTTTTGATTGTGCTCTTTGCAAGATCTGTGTGCAGGGGACTTATTTATGATAAAATTTCTCTAGTTTAAATGTCTAATAATGGGCTTTCAGTTGTGTATTGGTTTGTGGATGAGTCTTGCTATGAATTCTAGTTACTGGGAATCGTTGTTGGGTGCTGTTTTGTTTATGGGCACTGAAAAAGTTGTTATCTTTTTCATTCTGGTGGTTATGAGGGTTGAATAGCTCATTTATGTTATTCTGGGTGTGCAAGAAATGAGATGGTTGCTAGGAAATTTGATGGTTGCTAGGAAATTTATGGTTGTTGCTCTTGGCACTAAGCTATTAAAGTGACCTTGCTTTTAAAGCTAATATTGAGGTTGGTAATCTTCGGTAGGTAATAAGTTTTTTTGTTTTTTTGTTTTTTTTTTTATTACTGTTGTTGATGGATTGATACTGGTATACTTGGTGTCATTTTCCCTCATCAGTTCTTAATCAATGCATTGCTAATTAAAAGAATGGGACTGAATGTTCAAGTTGATTTTTCTTTGTTGCATCCTGTTTCTATCTTCCATGCTGACAATCCTTAATGAAATTGAATTCTATGTTTTACTGATCAATTTCAATTTATTATTCCAGATTATATCATTGTTTTATTGGTTTTATTGGAAGCTTCTTTCATAGCCTTGTTACAGCACCATAATTGATCATATGGTTGGATATCAATCTAAGGCCTTTTATGTTGTTCTCTTGCTCAGCAATTAGCATTCGTTTTATAGTTTTATCTTTGTCTTGAGAAGTATTATATCAACATCTACGGTTTTTGTATTGATTTGTAAGCAATTTTTCTCTTGCAGGTTTGTATCTCCTCTAGCTTAATATCTGGGACCATGGGTGTCTCAGGAAAATGGTTGAAGTCACTTGTTGGCTTGAAGAAATCAGAAAAGTCACAATCATCAGACAAGGAAGAAAATGTTGGTATCAATGTTCCTATTTTCTTGCTTCTTCTTTTTTTTTTTTTTTTTTGGACTACGTCGCTGAGTTGCTTCCGTTAACTTGATATATTGTTTCTAGATGTTGGCTTCTTTGGCTGCTGAAGTTGTTGATGACTAACGTTCTTTCATCTTATGCATTTCACATGGTAGCGAGCCCCCTGTAGTTCACATTAACATACTTATTGGCTTGTATCTTGCCTGTAATTGCGATAGCATTTTACTTGAAGTCGATTATCATTGTCTGTTCTAGCTGTACTCTTACTAGAATATAACCCTTTCTTTTGACGAGGTCCTATTCATTCAAGCAACTCAAAATTGTTGAAATCAACAATTGGATCCCAAATAAAATGTTAAGCAATAAGGAAACTCTATTCATTGTGAACTCCCCAGATGCCAGAGTTTCCCTTTCTTATTCTAATTTTATTATGGTGTATTAACAAGTTGAGCAAAGGCCAAATAGAGTCAATGAGATTTAGTCAAGAGTAAAATGTTTATGCAAACATGTGCTTACTTCAATATCTTGGTCTTAAATCATGACAGAATGCAGCAGCAAGCAAGTCTCGTCATCGGAGAAAGCATTCTGTTGAGATTGATTCTGGTAAAATACAGGATGAGTTGGATCAGAGTGCTGCTTCACTAGCTGCAGATTCCAATTTCCAGGAAACTGCAGATGCTGGTGTCTCCTCCCCTCTAGATTCACTTGAAGTGCAAGATACATCTCCTAATGAACAATTTGCAAAGGAAGAATGGGCTGCAACAAGGATCCAAACAGCCTTCCGAGGATTTCTGGTGCTTACTAAGACTCCACCTTTCCATCCATTTGCTGGATTGGATTAGAATTAAAATAAAAGTTTTGTTTTTGGATGAGGTAATATTCTTTTAATTGCTTTGTTCAATGTAATGAGGTTAAAATTTTCACTTAAACATCAGGCTAGAAGAGCTCTGCGAGCATTGAAAGGATTGGTAAGACTTCAAGCCCTTGTCAGGGGCCATGCTGTGAGAAAACAAGCTGCCATAACCCTTCGCTGCATGCAAGCTTTAGTGAGGGTTCAGGCTCGTGTAAGGGCAAGGCGTGTTCGAATGGCATTAGAAAGTCAGACATCTCAGCAGAAACTTCAGCAACAACTGGCAAATGAGGCTCGTGTTCGAGAAATAGAGGTGAGAAAACAAATGGATAATTTAATCTCACAGACACATGTTTCTTATCGGATCCATGTTCGAATTAAGAGAAAATGATCAGGAAGTTTCACATTTTAGTGCTGATCTGTGGAGACTTTGCCATGTTTTCTATCCAATCCATTTTGTTGTGCATTTCTGCCATGATTTCTTTTGTTCCCTCTGTGTTTAATTATTGTGGTTGCTGGTTATATGCAAAGAAAGGGAGCTGGATAGAAAATAAAGAGATGTTCTCTAATTAATTAAAGAGTTCCATCAGATTGTCCTTTACATCTTTTTCTTCAGATGCTTTTCCTGTGGTTTTCATTGAACAATGTTATACTTGATAGGAAGGTTGTAATAAGTAGAGGATGAAGCGAAGCTAACAGTTTAGTTCTGACTGTGATGCAGGAAGGGTGGTGTGATAGCAGAGGATCTGTTGAACAAATTCAAACCAAGTTGCTAAAGAGGCAGGAAGCTGCAGCTAAGCGTGAGAGAGCCATGGCATATGCTCTGGCTCATCAGGTAAATGATGATGCCATTGCAGTTTTTTGAAATTAAAGTGAAAATTGTTTAATTGATTGAAGGAAAACCCTAGAAAATTCTGTTTGCTGATTATGGTAGAAATAAAATAGCTAAAGCACACACTCCTACATACTACACCTTCCACATAAGTTTAAGTCTCTGTGCTGTTAAACCATTTAGTTAACCATGTGACTCTTATCTATCTCCTACTTTCATTACTGATTCTGCCTGCTTATTTCCACCATTTTGAAAATTTTACCTTGGTTCAAACTTCAAATTTTCACTCTAACCTTTATTTTATTTCACTATGTCAATTCAAGAAAATAACATAATGGATCAATTTTGTTTTTGTCTTCAATTTTTTGCATTTAGCCTGGTATTTCTGGCACCCACATGCTTTCCTTTTTTCGTTTTAAGAGCTAGTATCTGTTTCTGCAGTGGCAAGCAGGCTCAAGGCAGACTGCTGCCCCTGCTGGATTTGAACCAGATAAAAGCAGCTGGGGTTGGAACTGGTTGGAAAGATGGATGGCAGTTCGACCTTGGGAGAACAGGTTTCTTGACATTAACCTCAGAGATGGAGTAATGATACGTGAGACTGAAAATGGTTTATCTGAGGCTACGAGTGGCACCATATCTCAGATAAAATCCATTGCCAAAAGCACAGCTCCATCAAATCTTCATGCTAATTTTTCCAGTCTGAAAACAGGTCCATCTCACTCTGATGGTAGTAGTTCTTCACCTGGTAAGTCTGCTAGTGGGCCAGAGGCATCAAATGTACTGTCTTCCAAGCCAAAATCCAAGCTAAGTCCTGATGCTATGGTTGAAGAAGCAAACGTAAAACCTGTTGGTCGTTCAAGATCCCACAGCAATCCAAAAGAGAGGTCAAAACAATCAGATAAACCTGCAAAGAAGCGGTTGTCTTTGCCAAACAGTGGTAAGATTTGGGTGTCAAAGCCTCTAGGTAGTCTCACTATTGATGTTGTCAAGAAAGTATTATCACTCGTGATGTTCTTTTTTTGGTTTTTCTGGAGACTGCAAGTAGACCATAAACAGGACTCTGGTTAAGAGTTCAGGCCTAATGTAAATAGTAGTGTCTTTTAAGCTAGTTGCCAAGACAATTGCACAATGTAGAAAAGTTGCTTTGATATTCATAAATTACTTACATATATCATTACTCTGAAATATTCAGGAATATTATTCTGCATTTTTTAATTCTCTTCTTTGTTTGGTGTATTTAGGGGTAGCTCCTGAGGCTCAAACTACCAGGCCTGTTAGAACTGCTGCCAAAGTGAGTCCTGGCTCTCAGAGGGCAATTAAGGATAAATCCAAGTCTAATGGACGGGTGAGCTCAAATCCTACAAAATCTGTTGCACAGACGGTGGATGTCCAGCTTGAAGATTCCCACCAATGATTAACCTACCTATCCAGGCTTCGTTCCCCTCAAAAGTGGTGGCCCATTTACCATATGTACATATTGAGTTACTGTGAGAGTAGATATGGTGCCATTTATTTTCCTGCCGGTGGTGGGTTTCACAGTGTTAAAGTTGAGGAGATTGGCTTGGCTTCCATGGAATAAGATCAGTAAGTCTCCCACGTCCTGTTGATGTTGTTGTTCTTGTTGCTGTAATCCCAGCTGTCGATTACGTGATTTTGTGGTATTCTCTTCATAATGTATGATTTACAAAGCTGGTGTCCTTATATATATTTAACGT